TGCCTGCCCACCTGCCTTCCTCCCTGGCCGGCGTGGCCCCGCGTCACTCACTCAACAGTGGCGGCGGCTCCTTCTGAAGTGCACCCGCTGTATAAGACGACCCCCTCACTTGGAGGCATTTTTTTCAGGGCAAAAAGTCATCTTATACGCCAGCAAATACGGTAACTTAAACAGAATCGGCTGGATATGTTCCCTACTCACCAGCCCCACTTCGGCTGGATATGTTCCCTACTCACCAGCCGCGCAGCTTGATCCTGGACCAGTTGCAGTCACCAGACCATCTTCAAAGGCAGCCCCATGTAGAGCGCATTGCAGTAATCTATACGAGATGTTACCAGTGCATGTGTAACTGTCATGAGACTCCGCTTGTCCAGGTAGGGCCGCAGCTGGTATAATTTCTGCAGCTGAAGGAAGACGCCTCTGGCCACTGAGTCCACCTGGGCTTCCAGTGTTAGACTGTGGTCCAGGAGCACCCCCAAGCTGCGGACCCTGTCCTACTAATGGAAACATTGGTGACGGGCCTATAATTGCCAATTTCGTCCGCCACCAAATTCTGTTTCTTCCTAATGGGCCTAATGAGTATCTCCTTGAGGACAGGGCCCTGCCCTCCAGGAAAGAACCATTAATTAACACTGTGGCCCATTCAGTTGTTAAAGGCCTGGTAGCTTTGATTAGCCAGACCGGGCAAGGGTCAAGGGATGAGGTGGTGGCCCGACAGTGGTCAAGCGCTTTGTCCACAATTTCTGGTGTCACTGGCTGAAAGAGATCAGAACCCACCAGGCAAAGCGAAGCACTGGACATCTCTGCTCGATCCAGCAGGGCCAGAGCTGGTATCTGGGTTTATAGCAGGGTTTAATTCCCATCTCTGTGTCAGTTTTGTGTAGTCCATTGTCAGCAATTGTTTGAGAATTAGAAGGGGGGTGTAAGCAAGTATAGGTCTGCCACCAAGGTCTCGGGAGAGTGAAGTATTCTTGTCAAAGATGGATTGGAGACCAGTTATGATGTGTATGAATGGTCTCAGTTGTGGTCTGAAAGTGACAACTAGCAGGGTTTGGTCATTTTCTCTTCTGGTTTGTCTTGCAGTAGTTTTTTTTCTGGGCATTTGTTTTGCCCTGTTAATTCATTCTTTAATCATATTGGAGAAGTATTGTAGTCTGAGGAATATATTTTGTAGATACTTGTGTTTGGAATCCTTATAAAACAGGGGTCTTATGGATCAGGGGTCCCCAACCCCCGTTCTGTGGACTTGTCCTGGTCCGTGGCCTTGCCAGGACCGGGCCGCAGAGACAGATCTCCTGAACCCTCCCACATGTACAGACACATGCTCAGCCCCTCCCACTCATGCACGGCGCCTCCCATGCTCAGCTCCTCCCATGCATGTGGTCCCTCCCCCTCACACCTATCCCAGGTAGCTAGCTCAAAGTTGACTCAGCCTTCTATTCTTCCAAGATTGGTAAAATGAGTATTCATATTGCTGGGGGGAGGGGGAGGAATGTGTAGCCTGCATAATTAACTTGTAAATCACACAGAGAGTGCTTTAAGAGCTATGGGGCGGTATATAAGCAGCACACTTTGCTTTTTGCTTTTTTTGGTTTTGTTGAGTATAGTGGATACTTGTGGTGGGAGGCGTCTGGTTGTGTGAAAGCGTGAGTGGACTCTGTGTTCTCCTAAGTTTCCCTCCCACCATTATTTCTACCATGGGGTCCTCAGGTAGGAGGGAAACCAACTTCATTATTGGAAGACACTGGAGTGACATACTTGGTTCTTACCGTCCCTCTCCCGAGTCATCCACCTTCCAAAGCAGACAAAACAGTAATCAGTGCAACAGGTGGAAGCCACAGTGGACACATGCTGTACTTGGGCAAACCACTTTGAGCTGTTCCTCTCTGATATTCAGTTGACCTACTCCATAATTCTGTTACAGTGGTGCCCCACATAGCGACAATAATCTGTTCCAAAAAAATCATCGCTATACGGATTTGTCGCTATGCAGGGCAAAAAAGCCCATAGGAATGCATTCAAACCCCTTCAATGCGTTCCTATGGGCAAAAAACTCACCTTAAAGCGAAAATCCTCCATGCGGCCACCATTTTCGCTGCCCGGTATGCGAGGAAAGGGTGCGAAAATACTGCGGGTGGCCATTTTTTCCAGTGGCCATTTTGAAACCGCCAATCAGCTGTTTTTAAAACATCGTTATGCGATAATTGGTAAGCGAAACGCTTACCGATCATCGCAAAGCAATTTTTACCCATTGAAAACATCGTTATGCGATCGCTTTTGCAATCGCAAAAACCTCATCGCTATGCAGATTTGTCGTTAAACGAACCGCTCGTTATGCGGGGCACCACTGTATATGAATTCTTGATATACTGCCCAAACGTGTTACATTTTAAGTGCAATGACACAAACTGCAGCACTGAATTGTCATTAGTTAAAAAATTGCCTCGGGTATCCCTTGTTGGTTGAAATCTTGTTGCTTACTGTGGTGAGTTGAAACTCGATTAGGTTGATTGAATCAGTGGGGATTTGATGAGTCAACTCATCCATCAATGCCACTTGTTTCAATGGGCCTGTTCTATTTGCAGCTTACTACACTAAGCAACAGGATTTCAGTCACTGTTTGCCAACTGTGTACCTTATGCACTGTCAGTATACTGAAGCATTTTGTGTTACAATTATATTAATATTTTTGGAGAATAGATGAAAGATCAAACTGGAAATAAATATTTGTTTTATTAACACTTGAAAGTGCCATTATCTATAGTCATTCCATAAGTTCATAAGGTTACATCCAGTAAACCTTTTCACCATAACCTTTCCAGAATGAATTAACTTGGAAAGAAAAAAAAATCCTTTCACTGTATTAATTCTTGCAGGTCCTCATGCACAATCATCCTAAATGAAGATGTGTACCAGCAATATACACATTTCATAAAACAAAGTTATTTGGTCAAACACAGAATATAATATAAACATGGCTTTTTATATTTGATTTTAAAAACCCAAATAAAATAAAAAGCCATCAACCAGCAAGAAAATAACAGTTAAATACATAATTTTTTTAAAAAGTCAAAATGCTTTTATACATTTTGTACAAGCACTTTTGAGACTATAACAAGGTCAAAATGTGCATGAACAATGGAACAAACCACACTATACCAGGTCATTGTAGGCTATTCCTTTAAAAAAAAACAGAAACAAAACAAGAATACCACTTTTCCTAACTGTTGGTTTTTTATATCCACCAATGCGCTACTTACCCAACATGATTATTTTTAGTTGGTACGTCTTGAGCATTATACAAAGATTCTTTCAAGCCACAGATTAGGCTGTCAATTTAAAATTTAAGCATTAATTGGTATTCTGCTAGTACCTTGAACATGCTTTAATTTTCCCAGTATCAGAAAAGAAGGAAAGAGTTAAGATCAAGAGGGAGACATTACATTCAATGTAACAAAAAAGAACAGGCAATTTTAAAAATCTGACTTTTCTAAGACTGGTTACGTGTCTCAATTTTTTAAGCAGCTATAAATTCAAAGATTGCCTTCAGCTTTTCAGAACAGTATTATTCTCTGTATCACAGAAGTATTTTTAGCTTTAAAAAAAAAGAGAGACAGTCCTTAAAAGACAAACCATACAATTATCCAGCCAGAGTGTTTTCATATACAATTCATGTCCAATCTTGGAAATACAAATACATTTTGAATGGTTAAAAAAAATAAAAAAATATTTTCTGAACATCAGCCAGCTGAAAATATATTTATCTAGTAAATTATCTGTCAAAGCTTTTTATATATTTCTCTAACTAAATGCGGTACCGTTAAAAAACAATTGTTTAAAATGTAGAAATGAAACTGTGGAATAAATCCATGGGAAAGAGAGAAACACAGTACAGAGAAGGTATTTATATATGTACCATAGATCTGCAAAGTTCTTAGACACACCTGTCACAACCCAAATACTACCAAGGCTCTGATGAATATTTGAAGCTTTGGGTGAGCAATGGCTGTCTTATCCACTTCGCATGTATGTAAAGTTCTGAACGGACACTCTTCACCCCAGTGTGAAAGAGTCTGGCATTTAGCAGTCACTCTTTCAAGCAATGGTCAAGTTATTTAGCACTGTGGCTTAGGATTGTAAAAAGTGAGGCTTACACTAACTACGCCACAGAACTAAGTCAATTAACTGCTACGTTGAAATAATGAGACTATGTGGCTGTCAATGGACAATATTCGACTGGTCAACTGGCTGGTGTCCCAGTTGTGTGAAATGAACTGGGAAACCCTTGTTCACATAGAATTCCATGCCAAAGCTCTTACAAGTGGAACCAAGTTGTTGGATTGGGTGTTTTACAGAGAACTGATAAGCAACGCTAATGTCCTGAGTTCCTCAACCAAGATAAAGCCAGAAGCTGACACACATTTACACCGAAGTAATTTAAAAATCCTCACACATTCAAGACAGTAGTACATTGCACACATACATAATTCACACACACTCCATAACAGTTGGTCAAAGTATTAAATCAGTGTACAAATCAAACATTTTCAAAAAATGTGCAAAAGAGTCAACATTGATAGAAAAAAATACCATTGTGTACATACATTACAAACTGTGCCCAGAATTCAAGCAGAGTAAAAACATTTACAGAGTGAAACCAAGGAATTAAATAGAGAATTTGAATGCTGCATAAAAATGTACATTAGATCAAAAGAGTAATTTTTTACATTATTCATAGCTTTTTGAAAAGTAAAAGTCTAGTATCAACTACAACATATCTTCCCCATACTTAACAGTGTCACCTGCTTGAGGTACAAAATGACAGCACATGTGGGTTGCTATAATCACTTCCACTTTCAGATGACTACTATTTTTAAAGAGGAGACATCAGGAAGAAAAAAAGCTTCATGAAATATAGATTTAGACCCTGTTCCGAAAAGAAAGCACAATCCTCTTCCTGCAATTCATGATTATGTGCCTGGTTTGTATACTTTTTTTTGGGGGGGGGGGAGGTATAGTCACATTGGGATAAATTTGCAGATAGTCTCACCACTGCAATCAAACTAGTTTGTGAATTCTCTAGATATCTGGAAGCCAAGAGAGACCTCTTGGGAAAGATATGCTAAATTTCTTCCCCAAAGGACACTGGAAACCCAGTGATACTCTCCATGCAAATCCCAAGGTGTTTCATTTACAGTCACATAACAAATTAAATAATTATATATGAATTAACCAGAGAGAATTTCAGTAGTCTCTTTTTGTTCTTGCTTCTTGGTTAAAGAGTTAAAGGCAAATCAATTAAAAACAACAAAAACATACCAGCTATAAGAGACTTCTTTCAACTCTCCAGCTATTGCCAAAAGCTGTATTAAAAGTATGTTTGTGTACACTCTTCATTGATAAGTGAAAGAAAAACCCAGAAAAATATATTTCACATAAATGAAAATGTACGTGCTGCCAATGGTTTCAGTAGCTTAGGAAATGTCCACTTGGATTTGCATCTTTGACTTCCATTCAATCAAGATATCTAAGTGAGAAATATGGCTCTGAATTATTTGGAATGAGATGGTCCACCTCCTTAGAAATCGGGGCAATGGTCTAGTCTGCTATGGCACAAGGAATAATTTGGCCCATTATAACTGACTTAGAGACTCAACTTTTTAAATCCTCTTCTTCCTTTCAGTTGCAAAGTTAAACTGCATACCCAGAAAAACATTGCAGAAGCACAAGTGGAAGGTGAAAATAAGTAAAATCTATCCAACATCCACTGAAATCTGATGAAGTGTCTGGTATAACCATACTTACAATGAATAAAATATAAATGAAATATTTTATTTCAAAAACTTTCATGAAATCTCTAAAACTCATTCTGCTGATTAACAACTCATTTTACATCTCATTTTACAACTCAACAAGGATCTTTGTCTGGCTTCTCATAACTTCATTCTGTGGTAATTGTTACTAATTTTCTTATTTAATAATTTGGCTTCTTTGTGAGAGAGAGAGCACTTTTTGCTAATGTCATGCTTGAAGTTTCAGTCAAAGAGTGACCAATAATGTAAGCTTCACATTTTATATGGTGTGTAACATTTCAATCTCTTTCTGCTAGTATAGTCACTAGAAGACAGAGGTTGTGCCTACATTTTTGCATATGTACAGACATTTTCCCTTGACCAGCCTTCTATATGCTTATATTTCTCCAATGAGTGTCAGTGTGAATACTGCAAATGTAAGCATACTTCTTAGGAAAATCTATAAACTTTTATAATTCATCTGGCTACTCCAATGGATATTGTGAGAATGATCTGCCATGAAAAAATATTAAGCATAAGCTGGGAATGCCTAAATCCTCTGCAAGTACAATCTAGTACATTTAGCATATTGAATACGTTCAATTATATGCTTCAGCGCTTCAGTTAAAGGTGAGTGTCAGTCATCAACACATTTAAGCATGAACAAAAATTGAGCTTCTTTTTACACAACGGCTGAAATCCTGTTGTGTAGCTCTGCATGCACAACAGGAATGACAGCAGCAGGGGAAATCACCACTGATTAATGGCTTCCTTTGATATTTTTGGGGTGCATGCAACTCACAGTGACAAAGTTGCATGTACCATGAAATCACCAAAGGAAGCCTTTGCTCAGTGGCAATTTCCTACTGATAATAACATCAATTCTATTATGCTCACAAGGCTGCAGAACAGCATTTCACACAATGAAACATTGCTTCCACTGCCTTTCAATTCTCAAGCACATTTGAGATAAATTTATAGTATGGTGGCAAACATTTTTTTTTTCTAATCAATTTTTCCTCTAGTTGCCAGACAAACCTGGATTTTGGATGAGACGTACATACTTCCACCTTTCATTTAAGTCTTTGTTCACTTCTGTAACATTCCCCCTACCCCGCAAGGTATGGATATATTTTTAGCTTTTTTCCACAGTACTAGATTCTCCTTGTGATTTCAGTACGGCCATATCTTTATATCAACATTGAGCAGAAGTCAGGCAGTGTCCAATAACAGTACTAAGTAGCACCTGCAGTCATCAAAATCAATACATTTTGCAGCCCCCATCTCCATCCTCCAGGCTGCACAATACAGTACAAGGTCACCTTTCCCCTGAAACGTTACAGAACATGTAGAATGCAGCGCTTCAGTTACACACAGCTTCATTGGTGCCCCTAAAAGTATTGCTGCTCAAGCAACCACTTGGACTGCATGTGCGACCTGGCCTGCCCTGGTAGTTGTTATATCCAGCACAAAGCTTACAAATAGTTAGAAAACTTAACAGTCACTAAGCTAAATATTACTTTTGGCTGTGTGCACATATACAGTATAGGGGTAGAAAAGCTTTGGTTTTCAGTGATTTGCACATGCATACATGCCCCAAATAGATACAAGGAACTAACCAGTAATTAAGTACTGGTATGTTGGCAGTAATCCCTTTGCTAATCCAAAAATCATCACATGGACTATCTAGCACGTAAAACTCTCCCCACACACACACACAAACGTGTGATATATTTTAAAGACAAAAAGAGAAACTATGTTATGAATGCTGAACAAGTTTCTCAAAGTCTGTACTCATCATCAGACACAACTGATGAAAAGACTGCCGGTGCAACTTATATTGCATTACATCTGGACAATGGCAATAAGGTTTGTACTTCTTTGTTTTAATTACATGACATCATCAGGAAAAGAAAAAAATGGAAATATGTTTCTTGAAACTATCTAAATTCTTTGTACAGGACCAAATGTTTCTTGAAATTGTATTTGTTTATATAAAACCAATACTGTCGCATAATTTAAACAACAAGTACCACCACAGAAGAATTTAGCTATCATTAGCAGCTCACCTGACTTGTTTACACATTGGCCCAAATCTTCTTGCTTGCTTACGCTGGTGTAGCACAAATGATGCAACATTGGAGGTGAATTGCTCCAAGTTAAGAAATTATCATCGACATTATTAGTTGTGTATTAAGTTGTATGACACAGTGTGCAACTGATGTCTGTGATGAATTCTTAACTTAGGGCAATTTGGTTCCAAATGTTACACCAGTTGTGTTGCTATGCAAGAGGATTTGGGTCACTACACTGGCATTAGTATGGCACTGAGTGCAAGAGTCAAAACCTAGGAGATATTTTTAAGAGAACAAACTGGTAATAGAACTGGCTACTGTACTTCCCAATCAGAGTAAGAATAAAGTCAATCCAAAATTAAGTGCTTTTAACTCATTAGAAAAGATTCAAGCATATATTCAAACCTATCTTTGAAATGAACGAGGCTTGAACATGCTGAACATTGGCTGGATTGTGCTCACACACTGTACCCTTGTTTTCAGAAAAGATATGAAAGACTAGTGTGTGTATAGAACTACTTTTAAAAATAAATCAAAATTCTCGTAAGCACCAACTAGTTAAATCAACAAATTTAAAAATACTGCACATAATTAAGCAACATGGAAAAAAATTGGAATCTGACACTCTTCTAGACTTCTAATAATATACTGATTGCTCCTGTGTGACTTTCTGCTCCCCACTGTAATTGGCAACAACAAAAAAGTAAGGCATATAGATAAAGGCACTGTAATTTGTTTGAATTATGTTATAACTACAAAGGTAAATTTTATTCATACAGGAGTGTATCCTAAGAAAAGAAGTGCAATATTCACCTAACACAAAGCAATATTCACCTAACACAAAAGTACAGAATTTAGAAATGAATGGTTATGTACATAGTTTAGAATGTTTTTCAATTCTTTTTTAAAATGTGAAGTAATAAAGCTTATGTTACTGGTTTAGATTTTTTTTTCTCAGCAAGACTTTTAACATATTTTAAAGGCCTCTCTTTTTAAAACTTTGATAGACAAGTTGGGTGGTTCCTCAATTTTCAAGAATGTATTTATTTTAGGTACCATGTGTGTGAAGATAATGGCCAAATTCCACATCAATAACCTCCCCTTTCCCTGCCACATTAATCTAAAACTAAGATATTAGAAATGAATATAACATTTATTAATTTAGCTTGTGATTTAGGGAGTAGATCCTGAGCCTTAGCAAGCTGCTTTCATTTCAAACAAAGAATGAGGGTGCATATTATGAGTAAAGTGTTTTCTTTACTCTTAAAGACAGGACCCATCTAAACAGGATTCTGGAAGCTTTTGTTCTAAATATAGCCTACTTGAACCTAGACAGTTTGTGAAATTGTTTCCAATGCAATTTGAGCAACATCAAGTTTACTTTCAAATAGTATAGCATAAAAAACAACATTAATATTAGGAGCCTTGAGGTGCAGTTGCAAAACTTCAGTACTGTAGCTAAGACACTGCTCACGACCTGAGTTTGATCCTAACAGATTTAGGTAGCTGGTTCAAGGTCAACTCAGCCTTCATTCCTTCTGAGGTTGCTTTAGCACTATGGGGTGGTATATAACTAGCGTTCTTTGCTTTTTGCTTTGCTTACTAATACAAACCAACTAGTTGAGTTAAGAGAGCTGGAGGTCCTGTTATTGCCAAACTGATAGCATATTCTTGAAAGCTTTACCAATTACTTTAACCTTTTCTTCTTAAACCTTCTAACCTTTTCTATTGCCAAATCTTCCTCAGAACTGTGTTTAATCATCATAAAAATTATTGATTATTTTAAGTACTGGTCTACAGATTATTTATCTTCCTATATCCTTAGAATTCTGAAAATACAAGAGTTATGTGTCTTTCCAAATGGGGCACAATTAAAAATGAGTTGACAATCCTGCCAGGAGATTGCAACTCTTTTCACAACCTTCAAGGTTACTATTTTACTTCTGTAATTGCTTTATTAATAGATTGTAACAATTAGATAGCAGTTGATTAATCATGTAAGCACCCCTCTGACCCATTTGACAGAAAACAAAATTGTTAACATCAGACTTGTTGTCAATTGCTACACTTTGTGGGTTTGGCATCTCAGTGATGTCTGTGGTTACATGAAATATATAGTTTATTTCTAAAATATGCACATTATCAATGGCAAAATTATTAAGAATTAAGAGTCAAGTATCTTTGAACTATGCAACCTGGTCATTAGAGGCAAACATGAGTGTTAATAAACCTACCTATAACATTTTAAAAACACTACAGGGACTCTGATAGAGGTCTGTGACAACATTTATACAACCTGAATAACAACAAGGGCTGTACTTACATTGCTGGAAACCTTCAGAGATATTTGTGTTTTTGCATCACTTTTTAATTGCCATTGTCAAGACAAAATGCAGTGTTTGAAAAAGGCACAAAGAACAATTACACTATTCTGCTAGGAGATTTTTAAAAGCCTCCCCCACCATAATAAGACAAAGACACTTTAATTTAGGGAGGCAAGCTGTGCACTGCAATCTGAGTAATTCATCCCAGAATCTGAATGCTGCCAAACATTACAGTTTCTTTCAACAATTCAGAAGAGTTAAAAATCATATGCTGCACGCTAAAGTCCATTTTCATTATTTTTGGTAACAAAAGACCCTTGTTAAAATTCTGCAAGCCTTTAAACTTCATGTTGCTTAGATGTAAATGTCCAGAACACAAAATAAATGAAGACATGTTTGCATTTCTGGCCCCCAGTTGAATCTGTAATTCTTCAGAAGAAAAGAAGTGGGTTTTTGAAGCACAGTACACATTAATTCAGTTACAAATGGGTTTCACATAAATTTGGGGTTCTATAAGCTGTACTGTGTTGCAACACAAACAGTGTGGAAAAAGATGCAGTTAGGTAAACAATATAACTGAATCCCATAAGGCATTTTTCACATCTAGTCTCAGTTAGGACACAGAAAACACTAGAAAGGCAGAATTTCTATCTGTGTAAGCCTGCCAAGGATACCTTCTTGCTTTAGTCTAAAGAACAGTAAGCATCCAAATATCCAAAAAGCCTTGACACAAAATAACTTCTATTTAAACTGCATTCCAAGTGCCTAAAGCTGTGAAAGTACTCTGAAAATCTGCGTAACATTAAAGTTCCTGAATGACTAGTAAGAGGTATTGTTTTACTCTTATGACTCTCATTCTACACACATCTTAATACTCTGATAAATAACTTTTTCACCTCATCACATACTTGCAGGTGCTATTATACCTGTGCACTGTAAGTAACAAACATTTTAAGGAGCCTTTCAATTGCTTCAGAGTTAATGTTTCAGAGGTCTGCACCTAATACATTCTGTGCCCTGTAAGGTTTCACAAGTAGTCTCCTTCAGCTTTTGTTCAATAAGACAGACACAACTTTCTTCCCTTTCTCTCCAGGGATCTTTCACAATGAATATGTATTCTTTTGTGTAAAGATCATATTGTGCTCCACTCTGAACATGGAGGGAAAAAAGACAATTGTCACATAAGTACCTCTTTTCCCTATCCCAAAAGTCAACATAGCAGCACCAATATTGGTAGATGGAGAGAACTAGATGATGAAACTGATAAAGGCAGAAACAGACTGCTAAAAGTAAATCTCTAGTATAAGATTTCAGTAAATAATTTTCTTCTTTCTTGCCTGATTAAAGTTCATTCTCCCACCTTCACCTCGAAACTGATTTCTGCGTATCTCAAATTTCTAAAGGCGAAGGGTGATGGATCAAAAATCCATCCAAATGATTTGAGATCAAATAGGAGAAGAAAAGCACCAATGTCTGCTGTTCTTTGGATATCTAAAGAGCATGAACAGGCAGTCGGTGGTTCCATTCCAGCACCATCAAGTTAATGTTCTGCAGCTTCAACAGAGTCAGAGTTGGAGAAACAATTCTAACATCATGATCCTATGTATTTTTACACAAAAGAAAGTCCCACAGTGTTCAATAGACCTTACTCCTTGGTAGCTTTAGGACAGCCATCTTTTTAATAATTTCATGGAGAACTGTTCCATTAAGCATGGTCCTCTAGTCCTCCACTGGAGCACAACTTTCAATTCAACATATCTTTAGCTGATGCAGCAGCACTTAATCGAGGTCACTTAGAGGCTAGAGTGATTGTCTGCCTGCTAGATTTTAAACATTTCAAAACACTGATAATTGAACAGAGCAAAGGACTAGTTTGGTTGGGAAGAAAATTTCAATCTTTGTTTATCCCCACATTTGCTTGGTTAATTGACTTTGCATAGTTACAATCTGATGGATGACTAAAGCAGAATTTGGAATACTGTATTGTAAATTTACCTACAAATGTCTGGGAAAAGAGAGTGTTTAGGACTTTAATAATAAGGGGTACAAGATATAAGAGCACAGATCTGAAAAGGAAGACAGCAGACTGCGATCTACAGGCTGAGCTGACAGCAATTATTGATAATAGAGCACTCATTTTTGGAATCCCGTCTTAGACTATTTTACAATGCTTTTCACTGAAACTAATTGTTTTAATTGGCAGTCATAAACATCTCTTCATTAAAAAAATAAAAATATTGTTAAAATCCATTGATCTGGCTTTTTAATATCTGGTAGGTTCGACATCTATGTTCCAGACGAGTCCTTTACTAAGAACATGCTGGATATGACAAAAAGCCTAATGGGTCCAATATTCTATACTGGCCAATCAGTTGTACAATGTGAACGTTCACAAATTTTTGTTTCATTCTCAGACTCCAGTACTCTGATGAATATAGGCTGGTGCATATGCAACAAGCCTCCACCCCTGAAGCTAACCTTCCAATGGCTTCAACTGTCATTACTTTCTTTAAGCATAAATCTGTCATTACTATTATCTTTAATCCATGGTTAACATACTGAGAACATACCACATGTACAAACCATGTGCTGTTTATGTAAACTGTTCTAGATCTCATTAAGGACTTTTTTAAAGTAGAACATTTAAGCACTGGATTTATTGTATGTTTTTTTGTACTGCTCATGTAACATCTGATCAACTTCAGTGCATTTGGCTTGCCTTTGATACAGGAGACTCTCAAAGACTTCTGCAGGATAATTTATAGCAGAGCTTACCAACACTATTTCTAGAAATAGGCCTTAATTTTTCACTGGTTTTTACTCTCTTCTGACACTGGAAAGGAAAATTGTTTCCATTCAGGACCTCTTGCCAGCTTCCTGAAGGGACAGAAATATTGAAGTATTCTATATTTTTATGAGTATTATCTTCAGATGTTCAGTGTGGACAGTAATAACTGCCAATCTGATATTCTTCTAACAAGTAAAATCAAACGAGGTATAAAATGCACTGACAGAAACACCAGTATATCAAGTAACAAAAAATGTATGTCACTCTGTGTCTAGCATCATAAGTGCACTGAAACTGAATATACAGTATTATTTCTATTTTATTTCCTCTCTTGCTTGTACTAAGAAGGGATCTTTTATGTTGCATTTCACAATTAAGTCCCTGATTTGGGAAGCCAAATTCTGCATGCTCACCATGATCCTAATTCCATATAACTAGCAAATATTATATAACCAATATATAACCAATAAGTCAGATGCACATGTTAAGACACATAATTCTGCTCGGCAACAAGTGGTAACAGTAGGCACTGTTACCCCTTCTACTCTAAGGACTCTTGACCATTTGAACTAAAGTGGGAAGAAAACAAAGGAAGATAAGACATTATGAAATATTTTAGGCAAGGGGCAGGACAGAAAGGACTAGAATAGGGAATTACTAAGAACAAAGACTTCACCCTGGCCACTAGAGGCCTCTTCTAGACCAGCTCTCATCACATGAGATCTTAACAGATCCAGCAAATTAGTTTGCTGCATGTTATGTGGCATCTTTAACACTAGAAGATGGCTCTAGGACAATATGCTTATCTACAATTTCTGATCTAGGACATTCATGTATCAAGACTATGGGACTCCTCCTTGACTCTTCAAGCTACTTTGCTAGGGAGCCCATCTTTTTTAAAAAGAAAAATACACTTATTTGGTTGCAGTTGATGTGCTTATTCAGATGGTTTCTTTTCAGAACACACACAGCTTAACCGTCTGTAGTTTTCAGCTTCTGAATCTGCTTCCAATATTCTGGATGAGATTTGTCAAAGCTAAAACACAACCAACACATCTCAGGAACTCTATCTACATAGTACAAAGAACTGGACATATTTTCTTTCTCTACTTCTGCTAGTGACACGTATATTTTCCCTGCATCCTGAGCTAGTCATCAGTGCTAGGGGAAAAACGTACATGCAATTCCTGACGGGTCCAAATAATTTGCCTTTACCCCCTTAAATAAGGAATGAATATGTACTAAAGTGCTTTATGCGAACCACATCAGTACATTACTGAAACAAAAAGACCCTAGTTCTAAATGGGAAACAAAATCTGCATTCTAAATATGCAGAGAGATTATTATCAATCAATACGAAATCAAGAATCAAGAGAAAAACCTTCTCTCTTGTCTTTTCCCAACTTTGTGTATAAAAAGAAAAAGTGCAGTCAGAAAATAAATGCAGTAAGTGAGAGATGGGTCGAGGCAGGCCATCAGTGATAATGTGCAAATGCGTGTCTCAGCAGTTCATCTGCAGACGGTCGCAACTTAGCCTCAATAAATATCCGCTTTAGAAAATCCCGACAGTGGTCCGAGACATGAGGTGGCAGCTGGGGATTGGTTGGTTGGGTAGCAATTTTAAAGATGGCAGCCATTGCTTCAAACTCTGCCCATGGTGGTTTCTCTGTGAGCATCTCAACCACGGTACAGCCTACACTCCTGCAACAGGCAATAATGAAGAGTGAGTCAATATCAGCAGATGAATAGGCTCCCCACTATCTCCAAGAATAAGCAGATGGGGTGTCCTCAAACACACAGCTTTTTTCAGTTCAAAGTGCAACATTCTGTGCAGATACATACTACGCTAGCACTCAGCAACATAAGTGCTTTTTCTAGGTTTAGATAGTCAACTACTAACGTGTTTCCTTGAAAATAAGAAGGGGTCTTATATTAATTTTTGCTCCAAAAATACATTAGGGTTTATTTTCAGGGGATGTTTTATTTTATTTTTTTCATGTACAACAATCTACATTTATTCAAATACAGACATGTCATCTTCTGATTGCTGCACAATGGTGGAGAGTGGGGTTTTACTGAACTGCGACTTATTTTTGGAATAGGGCTTATGTTACGAACATCCTGAAAAATCATACTAGGGCTTATTTTCAGGTTAGGTCTTATTTTAAGGGAAACAGGGTACTATAAGTTACCACCACCACCCCTTAGAAGATTATCAGCTTTAAAAAGGGAGTGGCAGAAAGGCGACACAAACCAACTATTTCCTATACATGAGAACTGCCATGATCAAATATTTAGACTCAAATCTCAGAACCCACCGTGGAAACTTGGATAGCAACTAGTCAGAGAAGACTTTGACAGCATGGCATTAGGAGTGAGCAATTTCTAATCCAGATCTGTTTAATTTAGTGCCTGCTCCAGTACAATGACCTTAAGGCTTTGATCTCCCAAGGAAAAACTGGACAGCACTTAACCGGATTCAAACTAATGACAGCAGGTGCTAATACTGGAAACATAAATAGGGCCTGGCTAATAATTCTAATTGTGACTCTAGGCACGTGCTGCAAATTTCACATCACATTGTGATGGAATGCTCCCTTAGAAGCTTCCTTGGCTCCCTGCAAGAATGACATTATCTTGAGGGCACTGCTATTCAATGGTTAAATGATTTAGATATCTGGCCTTAGGCTTAGTTGCTCTAGCAACTGCTCATACATAATTTATTTACTAATTATTCACCATTTGTATTGTGTGGTTTTAAAATTTTGTAGAATTTATTCTTTTAATATTTTACATTTTATACATATTTTGTATTGTCTTCATGAAGTCTTTCACAATAATGCTACATTCTGCTATGCTATATGAAACAAATAACATAAAAGTTTTTTTACATCTGCAAAGGTCTTTCATTGCTGACATGGACATCTAAAGGCAATATACGTACAATGGCCTACTCCTGCCACTGATAGAATGGTTTCCATCAGCAAAATGGGGAACCCTTGATGTGCCCTCAGAATTTGCTCTGAAAAAGTAGACTGGGAGGTACAGGGTACAAGCAAGGAGACAAGAAGAAAACGTTGACATATAAGCCAGAGTCTAATTGCATAAAGTCAGAGTCTGGTTGCAAAAGGCTAGATACTACCCAGAACATATCCACTCTCCTCTTATTTAAAAACAAAACAAAACAGCTGAAGGTAGCACAAGGTATCAAAAGATGCCAGTTACATCCTGGTTGAAGTCCTGTTGCACAGCACAGGAAGTCAGTACTAGAGTAGTTCCACTGAATTAATGAAACTTACAGAAGAGTTGTCGCAACAAATCACTACTTTTTCCGATGGGCCTACTCTAGTTCTGAATTACTATGTTAAACAACAGGATTTGATAGATATATAGTTCCAGTTCTCACTAAAGTGGTAAACCTATGTCTAGACTGTGCCACTTTACACTGCAGCTTGGAGGGAGGAGTTTCTCATAAATGAATGTTACTACATTAGGGAAAAATTCTGCCAGATAGAAAACTAAGCTCTCTCTAAGCTATTTTAGTTTTGACCAGAAGGGAATTTTCTTTCAAGATAAGAGTATTCAATAATCTGAGCTCCCACCTACAGTGTGAAATAAGGCCTCAAAACACTTCTACTCAAATGAAGCTTTTCAAAGTGATGGTCTGGATTGTCCATATTAGAATTGTTTCACCTTAAGTGAGCAGATTTAGCCCTGTTTATTGATGGCAGTTCACAAGTTTCTGATCCAAACATGTGAACAGAGCCTGCTAAATTCACCCCCCCACACACACACATATATATATATATAAATGGAAGTTCCATTTAATATTAAGGGCCTGTGCAATTGTCATTCATTAGCTTAACACACACATACCAGATATCTGCTTTTCTCCCATAGCCTTCACCACTAATAACTTCTGGGCTCATCCAGTATGGAGTTCCTGTAGCAGACTTCATTCCTGTACCAGATAAGCAAATTGTCTGAAGTCTTTTGCTAGCACCGAAATCACCCAGCTTAACATTGCCTGCAGAATCCCGGAGAATATTTGCTCCTGAAAAGAATAAAGATATGATATGCTTTACATATATGATAGTAGGTTCACTGTAAATTGTTGGTAAATTATTAAATGTACTCTACATTAACAACATTAGATCAAGAATCATATGGAGTCAGAAGAATGTTACAAGCAATCACATTATTTTTATATCTCCAGTGTCCAATTTGATCTAGTGTGCCTTGCTACCAAGGAAACAAGTTTAGGATTTGGTGCACAGATCACATTGATTTTGTATGCAACGATTAGTCAATGTCTTCAGATCCCACCCACAGAAGTAGATCAACCCAGAGGGATTGGGATGCAAAACAGATTGGAGAGAAATAAAGTTCCTATTTATTACCATTGAAACTATATGTGTTGGTTGCTGTTCAGTATTCATAGACAAAACCATTTCCAAAAAGATCTCAAGAGAGTGTCACTATATGTTGTTTAAGTCTGGTGTAGCATACTGTTGAGGCAATAAGGTGTGGGCCAGGACATCTCCACTTCAAATTTCATCTCAACTATGTAGCTCTCACTAAAGGTCAATTATTCTATCAGAATCTATTTGATCACTCTTAGTTCTGCATCTGCACTGCAGAGATAATACTAGTCTACTATACTTTGGTAATCTGTAAAACATTCCTGTAACTTATGTCAAGCTTTTAAAATAACTGCAAAACCCTTGAATGATCACTATTATTCAGAGCTTTGATGAGACAGTTTTTCAGTCCTTTATGACAAAGTTTATAACACAGCAAAAGCATTCAGGATGAATAAAGGGGGGGACACATTATCCTTGTGATTAAAGATGCTAAGAGACCAGCTCCCACATAAGACAGTGAGGCTTGTTTTTTTTTTGGCAAAGCAATATAAACGACAATCTATTCACATCTGCTAACGCCTAGAGTGGTCTAATATGATCAGATAGGCGGGATAGAAATAAAATAAATAAATAAATAAATAAATAAATTCTCTCCTGGAACAAAGGTTTTTTTTTAGCTTTGTGACTTAAACAACTATAAAGTACTAACATATTTATTTTTTTGAATTGTAGGAAGAGGCTTTGATAAAATACAGAATTATTTTCAGTGGTTCTGTCTCAAAAACTGGAATTCTCACATGTGCTGAGTTAATGAAGCTTTATGGAAAGAGAATGACCACATTGATTTTCTACCATTTGGCAATGCAATCCCCAACAATTGCCCCCTTCATTACCTTTAATATCTCTATGTACAATCATGTTACTGTGCAAATAGTGAACTCCTTCCAAAATCTGCCGGGTGTACTTCCGAGTCACATTTTCCGTGAGCGCACCATATGCCTTCAACTGATCTTTTATCGAACCCTACAGGCAAAGAAAGAGTAAAATGCTTTAGTACCACATATTATTTTTTTAAAAGTCTATTCTTTCACAGGACCAGTATGTGAAGAATTCATTTTTTTCAAAAGCATCCATCAAGTATACATGCAATTCTGTGACATCTCTCTAAATTTGTATCTTTCTCTAACCTCTAAATAAAACCATAATATTTAAAAGCTTAAAAAACACACAGAAATACATTAACATCTTTAGGCTGAGTTTTTTGTTACAGCCACACACAGCAATATTTTCTAAAGCAAGTTCCCTGTGTATAAAGAGCAAATATATTGAGTGTATGTAAAGATTCTGTTTGTATGATGGAGGGAAGATTTCTCCCACAAAAAGGTAAGATAGGAACATTTCAATTCTTTTCAAGAAGAATAGTGTGCTAGTGACTTCACTCAGATTGTACCAAAGACCTGAACAATTTGATGCATGTAACCCTGATACTATATCATACTGCTTTACATGGTCTTTCCCCACCTCTTCCATGGAAAGGCATGCTGCATCTTTGCTACATGTGTGGTAGCTTTCTTCAATATGCAGGTGAGTGATGCTAGACGGTATTCTGACACTATCTACATTGACAAATACTTTAGGATTTGTTGCTACATGTGTGGTAGCTTTCTTCAATATACAGGTGAGTGATGCTAGATGGTATTCTGACACTATCTACATTAATACTTTGGGATTTGCTCCATAATTAGCACAGGTGAACTAGAAATATTTTGATCAAATGATGCAAAGACCAATGTGAATCAACCTGACCCTTGCTGCTTCTGATTCAGAGTTCTTTTCCCTGCTGCTAGGGGCTTATACTTTTTTAGAGCCAGAGTGACTGAAATTGTGTTTTCTCTGTGACTGTTTTGTTCTACTAAAGGACAGGAGAGGTGACTCTGAGTGCTGTTATGATGTTTTATTAAACTGGGACAGCAAGAACGCCCACCAAAAGATCTCAAGAGAGTAGTCACCCCAAATAATTTTTTTAATCTACCAAGTTTAGCCTTAAATCATCACTGCAATGACAAAAATAAAAAAATAAGAGAGCTGGGGATCACGAAGTGGATGTTACGGAACGAAGAGGGGGGCTTTGTGCACATATCACAATGCACTGAACTGAGAGACAGTGTGGACACTGGCACTGAAACAATCTAGGGTTTTCATGTGATCAGCTAAACCAAAAAGAGGCTGCAAATCAAACCACAGAAAAACTGAACTGCTCCAATTCTGCTTGCCAGCATAGTCACAGCCTAACTTGAATATTTCTGAGTGGTCAAGGAGCACTATTAAAATTACTAGTAATACTTAAGGAATAATAAAATTTTGAAATGTTTAATTTCAGCTCGTCAATAGGTTTAAGACAGAGAAGGCAACTCTGACAGGCCTGGGGACTAACTTTTCACCTCCAACGCTTGGGGGGGGGGGAATGCACCAGACCCAGAAATATCAGGAAATGTTTTTAAAATGATACAGCTTTCCAGAGATACACAGACATTCACTTCCAGTATTGATTTTGGAGTTGGAGGAGTCCCCAAAAAAGTTTTACATAAAAACCACTGCTCTTGAAGGTTTAAGATGCAGAGCAAGACATTTTTTATCAAAAAAGGGGGAAATTGTAAGAAGTTCTATGGAGACCTCAAGGAGACATTGGAAGGCCCACATGCAGCCCATAAGATTGCACTTCATCCTCCACTACTTAAAAATCTAGAGTTAATACATATCAAAATTTGTTTGTTGGTCCAATCTGTTTTCACAGACATGAAAATGAGAAATACAGTATGGTTCTTTTAATTTCATATGAGAACAAAGTGAAAGAATGACATATGCATTGGGAATTGATGCATAAAGAGCAGGTGACAACAAATCCTGCTCCTCGTGGCTTCAGAACTGTTTAGACTTGAGATACTGCTTCACCTGAGAGGTTTTAACACAAACTTTGTGTCCAATGCAATATCTGTTCTGGACAGACAAATGAATTTTTTCAGGTAGGTGAGAAAAATATTCAGACTTATAAGACACAGAGAGAATAACTGTCTACCTGTACATTTCTGACTTACCCCTGGCATGTATTCCATGAATATAGAAAGTGTCCTTTCGGGAGGGTCTCTCAAGCAGCCATAATACTGAACAATTCTCTCATGTAGCAGATTTTTCAGCAGCTGAATCTCACATTCAAGAGCATTTACCTCCTGAAAAGCAAGAGGACTGCATTAAAGAAGTGACCAGATACAGTCTGGGGGAAAAAACAAAACAAAAAACAAACGCCACACACCACTTTCTGCGCAGCAACAACAAAAACAACATATATTTCAGTTACTGTAGCGTTCTCCATTTATTAGATCTATGGTGCATGTTATATTATGTAATGGTTCATGAATATTCATGTTGCTGAGAGGCGGAGCCGAGAGAGATGCTATAAGAGGCAGAGTCAGAGAGTCAGGAAAGGCAGTTTAAATCAGTTAGTGAAATGTAAGAGGCAGGAGAGAAAAGCCAGACAGAGTAATAGAGTGTGTAGTCTGGGAAATTTAGGTGTGATTAACTATTGAAGATATTCATGAATCAATTTGTGTCATCAATAAACCAAAGTTTTATTTAAAAGAACTTGAAGTGTGGACCTGAATCTTTCTGAAGTAATGGTGATTTAGAGATCACCTGGTGGCAGCAAGTGTAAAAGAAGAGAGTGTTTGCCTTCGTGTGCTCTGAGGCTTGAAGGTCAAACAAAGGGGCACGAGGGTGGACGCCAGTTATTTTGCATTTAAAACTGAAAATTCTTGAAGTCCACACAGTGTTCGCTATTTGCAATACACGTTATTGTGGAAAGTCTGGTTTACACAACATAATTGTTAAAAATATAGGTTCATGGTAGGTATACTGATTAGGCAGCATACATACTTAAACATATGACTTTTGACAGGAAATATTGAAAGCTGCCTTATATTGAGTCAGGCCATTGATCTATTTAGCTTAGACTTTTCACATTTGAATGGTAGTGACCTCCAAAAGTTTCAGGCAGGATTCTTTTGTAGCTGTACATGGTGATCCTGAGTGGCTTCAAAATCCAACTACTAACAAGGATTGACTCTGCTAGCTTCTAAAGCAGGTGTGTTCAGGATGGCACAATCTGATGTTCAAAATCTCCTCTCAAGGTCTCTAATATATGTGCATATCCATGTGCATGCACTCACATGCTGATGATTCCATAAAGCAGAGAGGAAATGTGAATTTAATTGTTTCATACTTTTCTCAACGAAGCTACGTTTATGACTAGGTTGTCCGGCGATAGACACCCTAGACTGCATGATTAAGGTGTCACAAATAAAATCAAAATAAAGGGAAGGTCCATGATTTGCTTAGCCGTTCCTACTTGCAACATGAATGACTGGGCAATATGGACAGACACAGTGCTCATAAAATAGCAGCTCATGGTTCCCCGGAACACTGCTTTACCATGACATGCTTACTAGACCATAAGTTTTAGACTACCCAAAGATGGTAGCATGGCTCTGGAAAAAAAAATCCCAGTTCTCTTACCTTGCTGGTCTCTGGGCTGTCAGGATCAAACTGAACTTGTTTAACAGCTAGTTCTCGGCCTGTGTCTGCATCATAACAGAGATAAACTCTACCAAAGGCACCCTGGCCCAGCAGTTTACCAAGTCTCCAGTTAGTTGGAGCTCGTGGGGCTAGAAACAGAATGACAAAAGTTTAATATAGTTTCTCTCAGACAGATGATTCAAAAAACAAACCTTTCCAGATGAGTAGCAACGCTTGGGTTATAGAAAACATTTCAGGATTATGAAAAACAGTTTTAGGACTCTAGGGGTCCTGCAGGAGGAGGGGGGATTGGGTTTAAAATATGGCACTATTGCCCTCTATAAAGCATAGGGGACATTTTGAGCAAAACAATTTTTGTCTTAAAAAACAATTTTGGTGGTGGATGATTACTCAGTGGTGCTACATTTGGAATCCTGGGGGCTGAAAATGGCCCTTGGACTCCATTATTGCTCACAACATCATAAAGAATTTATTCTTAATGTCCCATCTGCACATTTCTGAATTTTAAATTCTACCCTCTTTTTTTTTTGAGCCAAGTACCCCCAAATATCTCAATATATCTGATTTTCCTCAAGAGAAGTCAATGGTTCTGTATGTTATTCACCATGAAAATCGATTCCATCTATGGTGACCTTAGTAGGGTTTTCAACATCTGTGAGATATTTAAGGAGTAGTTTTACCACTGTCAACATCCATTGAGTTTCCATGGCTAAGCAAAGATTCAAACCCATGTCTCCTCAGTCCTATCTAACCACTACCCTAAGCTATTTTACCTGGGACTGGTCCCAGGATGTCTTCTGAACAGATAATGAAATCTATACAGTGGTGCCCCACATAGCGAGGTTAATCTGTTCCGGATTAACCGTCGCTATGGGGAAACATCGCTATACGGAACAGAAAATGCCATAGAAACGCATTAAACTTAGTTTAATGCGTTCCTATGGCTCTTAAACTCACTGTTCTGCAAAGTTTCTCCATAGCGCTGCCATTTTTGCGCCCTCGGTAAGCGAGGGCAGGGCACAAAAATGGTGCGGGCGGCCATTTTCTGCACCCGGCGGCCATTTTGGAACCGCCGATCAGCTGTTCCCAAAATGGCCGCCAGGTGCAGAAATGATCGCAATGCGATGTTTAGCCTATCTAAACATTGCAATGCGATCGCATTAGCGACCGCAAAAAATGGGTCGCTATGTGTACTCGTCGTTAAACGGTGCGCTCGTTAAGCGAGGCACCACTGTATATTGACTCTGGTTAGCGGGGCTGTTTGGGGCTCCACTTATAAGTGGCTGAAGACCTCCCCACATTAAAATATCTATTTGTACCAATGAGAAAAAGAATAATACCTTTCAGAAGCTTGCTGAATGAAGTGGCAGGGTGGAGTTTTTTCCTCCTCTGAGACCCACCACTTACTCTTTCACCAAACAAGTAATTACTTACTTCTTGTGCTGCCTTTCTGGTGCCATGGATTGCTAATATGCAACTAGCAGCAGAGGAACATTTTGCAACAAAGCAAATCAAAGTAACTAAACAGAAACAAGACGGTACAGATTTATCATTTTGGATGAGCTGTGACAAAGTATTATGTATGTATATCTTTTTCCCTTACAGCGGCTGGGTGGGCTGATATCCATTACTGTCAACGTAGGATTGTCTATATCACTTCCTCTTCTCCGCAATCTTCCATCTTCATATTCTGGAGTGAAAATGCTGCTCCCACTGCTTGTGCTCAGTGAGTGGTCAGTTGGGCTGAAACTCACCGGAGACCGTAAGGTGTTCCCCTGGGTCCTTCTAGCCCTCGGAAAAGTTTTGCGACCTATAATACAGTAACATAAAACATGATCCTTATTTTATTTACTTGTAGTATTTATATATTGATATAGTCAAATCACTAAATGGTTCCACTGAAAGCAAACAGTAATATCCAAACAATGGATAGTGTTGTATCCCAGAACCTAGTGACAATCACAGAGTATTAGCTATAATTCCACAAATACAAAGGAGATGCATGTGCAATGACTGAGGGCTGTGGAGGTATCCTCCAGATGGTGCTGTATCTAGCATGCTCTCCTAGAACACTATTTCTGCATATAGCTGATAACATTTTAGTTTTCATGATCTAATATAGTTCATATGTTAAATGGCAATGAGTAGATAATTCCCTCAATGAAATGTGTAAGAGTAACTCCTTGTCTAGAATTATCTATTTGTTCTTCAACCTTACAAACTGGTCTTGCTAAAACTGTCAGGATCTGCTTTAGATCGGATAACAAGACAATGTATGGAACAATTCTGGATCCAGATGTAACGATTAGGGCTTGGAAGGCTACATATCATCATATATATGTTTTAGAAATATATAACACTTTTCATCTTTATTAAAAACAGAAGAATTTCAACTGAGATCGAAATAAATTCATGTTAGTAAATTGGCCAATGCAGCTGAAAATTGCTCCTTGATATTTTAATAATAAAATCTTTAGTGAAAATGTCAGCAGACAACATTAGACAGCTTTCTGTATGAAAAAGACTAGTAGTATCTTAGAAGATTTGAAGAATCCAACATATACTTCAGAATAAATCTCACTACACTGAATCAATTTAGTGTTGCTTCACTGATCCAGCAGAGGCTTCTGTTAGCAGAACAGCAAGATGATTTTCTAGGACTGCTCCCCTGCCTCCTGTAGTTGTCCATGCCACCTCCTCCTTTTAGTTTCCTAATCTTCCAAATTAAGTGCACGAAGGACCCAGAAAAGGGGAGAGAGACACTGATAGCCACTTCCATCTTTATTACTGACGGAAAGCTGCACTGAATCACAAAGCTTTCCATCAGCAGACTGGCATCAACTGGATAAAACCCACTGATTTAAAAGAAATTTTCTGTCAAGACATCAGTATTCATCCTTCATGCTGTATTTTTTTCTTTTTTCGAAACAGCAATTTCTGCTCGTAGGAGAACTATAAAAACTCTTAGAAAGCCACATTGTACCTAGTTCATCATATATGGAAATGGTTGGCAGTGCATAACTAAACAATCTAAGCAGATCAATAAGAAACATCCAAACTACAAGTTATAACAAAGTACCAGGCAACAAAACAGACCATATTTCAAAATTAATGGAAAACATATACTGTATATCCTTGTTTGTTTGTAAACTACATGATTTTGAACAAAAAACATTCAAAAGAACTGTTAAAGGGCTCATATCTCACCATCATTGTAGTCTTGATGATGGTAGGAAACATGATACCTGCGAGGGTAAGTTCCACCTTTGCCAAACTTCTCAAATATTGGAAGGTCATAATCTGAAAAATGGCAAATAATGTATCACAATTGTTTCCCATCCAGCTGTTGCATTTGTCTGAGGAAAACAGCTTACTGAGCTGGATAAAATTGTATAAAAAGCTAGCTGCAATTTCATGCACTGCCTCCAGTTTCAAATCTAGAAGGAGCACATATTTTACAATCCAGAAAGTTGGCAGTGTATTTACATACTTCCTAATATAGGGACTTGGGTGTGAGAAGGCAAGCATCAATTCCACCTTTTATACAATATAAAAAATGGTTTATTTCAACACATGTCAAAAATGAGACCTGTTTTTACCAACTTGCATTCTTATAACTTTGCTACTAAGTAGTCACCAGCTAGCTCAAGTACACTGCATTATCACTTCATCTTCGAAGACATGACATGATGCATAAGTTTTATTTTAAACGAAACACATGCTGAATAAAATCCATCCCCTTGAAAGCCATTACATTACATATGGAAGCCAGCAAGGACTTTTAAAATTAATGAGCACTTCTAAGAATTACTATCTGCAATTCTAAATGTATTCCCTTTTTTTCCACTTAAATTTGATACGGAATTAACAGTACCAGGTGCTTGATTCTGATAATCTACAATTGATGATGATTTAGTCCACTGAAATATTTGGAATTATAAGTAAAACACTTCTTTTCTATCAGTTTGGCTTTTAAGAAAATATATATTTCAAATTTTTGTAGGTTCTTAGAAATATGTGAACCACAGATCTTTGCTTTGCAGTTCTGTCACTGTTACCACAGCCTTCAAATAAGACAAAACAAATATGATTAGGTTAAACTTTATACACTTGCATCCCAAGACACATTAAACCTATAGCAGGAGACCAAGGAGAATGGAAACAGCAGTTATTTATTTTACCCACCAGAAAATTCTTGGTGGTTGTCTGGATAGCTCTGTGCTCTTGGCATCCGGGACTTGGGATAGTTGTCTCTGGAAGCACAAAACATTGGGCTATTATAGTCTTGGGTGAAAAGCCAGCCAGCTGAATACAATTAGATTCTGTAACTAGTAGTTTTAAGGAACTCAGCAGAAAAACATGCAGATTAAAAAGCGGTCCCTACCCATCTAAAGGGCTGTCAAGTGAAGGGCAGCTTCCTGAGCCAGAGTTTTCAGGACTACTCAGTGATAATGGATCTAGCATCTGGAACAAAAGTACAAAAGAGTGAATGAAATGCCTTCACATTGATAGCTATCCAAACTAAGCAACATAAACAGGCAACAGGCTAGGGAAAACCAAGCAGGCCAAGAGCATCAGTACTCTAGCAAGAATCTCCATCTATTTAGAATGCAATCAGTGTGTTATTAAATGGGACTGGGGACTGGGAAAATAATAATCCAACACTTAAGGAACATGATTGGCAACTGAAGCATTTCACAGCCCAGTTTACAATGTGGATGCTAGAGATGGATTTGCTCTCCCATGATTGGCTTGGAATAATTTACAAATTGTACCAAGAATTCTCACCCACCTGTGGAAAATCTCAGCTTAGTTCTCTAAAAGGCCAGAAAAATGATCACTGCCATTCCAGCCTTCACAGTATGTCTGTGACAGTTGCTTGGCAATCCAGCCCACCATGACTTAGTCCGTAAGTGGCAAAAGGAGTAGTCATAACAAGGGCATGCAGGAGGAGTATGGGAATCGTCCCCTTTTCCTTGTTGCATCACTCAATAACGCATTAGGTTACAAAGACCCAAGGATCACTAAAGCTGCAATTCTTTAGAGTGTAGTTGTGGTACAATGATATATCCCATGGCCTGCTGCTCTTTATGCCCTGATTTTCATTTACCCACCATGTCAAGGAGGTGGAGAAGGAACATGATGGAAGACCTTAGGTTGAAAAACTTGTATGCAATAGCCCTTTTTTCCAAAGACATATAAGTACCTGATCCATGCTTTCTGGAATGAACTCGCCTTCACTGTTGATACTAGTGAATGACCCATTCCTTGCCACCTGGTGCAGCTCATCTGGAATGTATCCAGGAGGAGGAGAGCTTCTGTCACGAGTATAATAACCTGTTGATTTTTAAACGCACATGAGCCATAGATCATGTTAATCCTTTAGTTACTAGTAGTCAACTATCTGTATTCTTGAAGGCTTTGACAGCTGGGATCTGATGATTGTTGTAGGTTTTTCAGGCTGTTTGGCCATGTTCTGGAGGTTTTTCTTCCTAACATTTCACCAGTCTCTGTGGCCAGCATCTTCAGAGGACAGGAATTAGAACTCTGTCTGTGTTCTGGTGTAGTGTGTGGGATAGTTGAGTATCTGTAGTTGTGGGTTCAGCTTTTTGTCCTTTTCATGAGTTTGAGTGATTATGGTGATCAGCGTGTTTTTTAGTATGGGTGTATTGTTGTGATAAGGAGGGAGATAATCTTTCACTGTGATTGATGGGTGTAGTTAGCTAGTCTTTTGTGTTCAGTGATCACCGGTCCTTGTAGTTGGGTAAAGTTCGTTGACCTTTTGGCAGGCTGTATTTTTCAGTGCTGGGAGCCAAGCTTTATTGATTTTTAGACTTTCTCTTTTTTTGTTGAAGCTGTGCTGGTGTTTGTGGATTTCAATGACTTCCCTATGTAGTCTAACATATTGATTGCTGGTGCTGTCTAGTACTTCTGTATTTTTGAAATAAAATTTCATGTCCAGCTTGTTTCAGGGCATGTTCAGCTACTGCTGATTTTTTTGGTTGTTTTAGTCTGCAGTGTCTCTCATGTTCTTTGTTTCTGATGTGGATGCTGTGTTCTGTGTCCCAATATATACCTGGCCACAACTGCAAGGTATCTGGTATACTCCTGCAATGGTAGGGGGTCCCTTCTGATCATAACATTTGTTTTATTTTTGTGGTAGGCATGAATACTGTTTGTAGGTTGTGTTTTTTCAAGTTTCCTCATGTGGTCCGTGACCCTTTTGATGTATGGCAGAAATAGTTTATTTGTGGGTGGCTTTTTTTCTGCTTCAGTTCAGTGTTGTTTTCTCAGTTTGATGGCTCTTGTGATTTCATTCTTGGAATAGCCATTTGCCTGTAGGGCCCAATTCAGATGGCTGAGTTCGGTGCTGAGAAATTGGGCTTCACAATTCTGATTCACATGGTCTACCAGTGTTTTGGTTATGCCTCTTTTTTGTCGTGGGTGGAGATTGGAGTTTTTGTGTAGGTACTGGTCTTATATGGCAGGTTTTCTATAGATCTTGTGTCCCAATAGGAGGTCAGGTTTGCGTATGACCATGACACCTAAGAAAGGGAGTTGGCCCTCTATTTCTTTTTCCATGGTGAATTGTATATTTGGGTGGATGTTATTGAGATGGTTTAGAAATCCCTGATCGCCATAATCACCTAATCTCCTGAAAAGAACAAAAAACTGATCCAATCCCACACACTACACCAGAACACAGACAGAGTTCTAATTCCTGTCCTCTGAAGATGTCAGCCACAGAGACTGGCAAAATGTTAGGAAGAAAAACCTCCAGAACACGGTCAACCAGTCATCTATCTGCTTGATTTGAAAATTAAAGTATGTTGACATTTCTTTCTATTTCCATAGATTGCCTACATAGCACAAATAATTTAGCAAGACATTGCAGATGGAAAACTTAAAAAGAAAAAATGTCACCATCCATCTCTAGATGTCAACATAGTTGTCTCATGCTCTACAAAATCTCAAGAGCCTCTATTCTTTCTCCTGACTGCATTACAACATATATTTCTAAGTCTCTATTTAATAGTACAATGTACAAGTTTAAAATTTAATAACAGTACTTTGCACTTTGCAAATACATGAAATAGATAAATGTAAACATTGTTAAGAATCTGATTTAATGCTACCCTTCCTGATGGACTAGTAGCATTCCTGATGGTTGGCAACTGGGGGACAAGATAAGGGCTTTCTTCACACCATTTAGCAGTTGCAGAACTGCATATGGCCTACATAAATTCTTTATATATTATTAAAATATTACTCAATAATGTAGTTAGATAGTACATACTGAAATAATTTATCTATTTCCGTAAATAAAATAAAAATGTAAAAACTTGGGCACACAAACTTAATTAAGATGGAATAAATACAGTATAAGATTTTGATTTTTTTTTAATGTTGCTGTTCCTTCATAAATATTATTTACCCTCTGAATATCAAATTAATTCCTTCAGGTTAATTTATGAAATGAAATTGATTTATTAATTTTAAAATTCATCCTTGTAAGCAGTAGCACTATTTAGAACACTGTTAGAGGCCAGGTGCACAGGAGCTTATCCCACTCTGTAGCCCCCTGCGTGAACAATAGAGATCACTCTGAAAAACACAGACTACACAATGTTCTTATTAGAGTGTTCCAACCTGTCCTTAATGGGGACATATATGTCCCAGACTGGTCTAGGGACGAAGCCTTCTGTTTATTTGGAACAATTAGGATCAGTCCAAATAAACATGGTTTCAGGCTATGAGATCACCTAGATTGTTCCAGTGTGAGGTTGGGGTTCTTCCTACATGTCAGTAGTCATGTGTCGAGGTGGCTGTGGTCTGGCCATGGCTGAGGATGGCACCCTCCATCCTATTTTGAACTGAAATAAGGCATTTTTGTTTTAATTTATTATTATTATTATTTAAGAAAACACTTTCCCACTATTATGCTGCATCACTTAAACACTACAAAAATAATTTTTAAAAAAGGAGAGAAGGAAAAAGTGGGGCTGAAACATGGCACTCCGTATCCCCTCTCTTTGTCTGTATTAATGCCCACTCACAAGCAAACGGAAGCAGGCTGTTTCCGAACCAAATGACAGCTATTGCAAAAGAAAAGATAGAAAGTGGCAGAAGGAGAGGGGAACATTGTGAGCAAATGAACTAAAACCTTCTGATCATATGCCTTATCAATTGTGTCTTACCCTGAAAAGCCTCTCAGGAGACATTTTTAAAAAATAACTGACTACAGCAAATCTCTGCACCCCTCAGTCACTTCAAAATATGAATTAAGAAGCTTTATTACCTATTACAGAAAGTCTGTTTTTTCTTTCTGTCACTCGGAAAACTGTATTATCCAAATCTTCCAGTGATGGTAGAGGCTCCAAGTTACTCTGGAGGTGAAAGCACAAAGTTGTTTATTTATTCCTAAAAAATAAGAAAGTCTTCATGCTTATGAACAGAAGCAAGTGTTTTGCATAAACATGATTTTTCCATGCTGTTTCCCATTAGCTCAACTGAAACATCTAAAAAGGAGACCAAAGTCAACATGTGAGTGAAGGAGCACTCTAGCCATGCACCACCCTGAATTCTAAAAAGTGGGGGTACTGAAGAGGAGAACCACTTTTACATGTGGAAGATCTGACACCCCATGCATTGAACTGATGATCTTCTTCAAAATTGTCACAAAATCACGATGGAGAGGTGGAACTTGCCAGGTACTTCTCTCTTAGATGCAGTCAGAAAGTATATGGTTGCTGTTTTATGGTTGCAGCTGAGGCAGCTGTGGACTGAGTGTAATAAGCCAGTTCTTAAAAAAAGAAGAAGAAGAAGAAGCACAGGCCTTTTGCGTGCACACACACACACACACATCTTTCTTTGAAACATGTTTCTGTGTGACACATCAGACTGTAAGTATGTGTACACCAGAGCAGTTCAAGCTCGGTAAAAATATTCCAGGGCTATCAACAAAGCACGCTATTCCTCTGGCTTGTCGGAAAATATTTTTAAACTTCTCAACATGCAGTGGTAGCAATCAGCAGCACAGAAGGACATTGCTGATAGCACAATTTTTCCTTTGAAACCATGGATCAAGAACTTTTTTTTTGGCCAGGGGACCAGGCTCCAATTTGGAAAAGCTTGTTCAGAACATGGCATCTGAACAAGGTTGCAGGCATAGGGTATCATCAAACATAAGTCTTAACAATTAGGACATTTTCCCACCAAACAAGAAAGCTTAAGAATTCCACTGAGTTTAACTCAGGGATATGTTTCAGTGCAACTGTGTCTCACCCTGAAAAGATTATCTCAATTGTATGCCAATTACTTTTCCTAGTTTACAAAGTATAGCTCAGTCTACAAAAGGTATAAGTTTAAATGCCTTTAAATACTTCTGATCTCTGATATTAACATTGATGCTAATAGCAGTAGCAGCCTGCCAAACGGATGGGGAACTGATATGAGTAGGAGGTCCCCCATGCTTGCTTTAAACTGTCTTGGGCCATTATGGTAAAATACACAGTAAGAATAAAATCAGCACTCTGTAGGAACAGCTATGTCAGATAACCTACTGCTGGCACAGCAATTCAAACTCTATGCATATTTTACCAGACACTTGATTTCCTGGGGAAGGGGGAGAAGATGAGTCAGCAGTTTTCATCAATTCCCCCACCTGTCATGTATCATTTTTTTTCTCATGCTGCCCAGAAGATCCCCCAAACATCTAGCTTTTCAGGGAACACAAGAGGCTAAAGTCACCCCCTTCACTTATCACAAATAGCATTGTGCTGAATACAACTTGCATATTATAAGAGCATATTATAGATACATATGTTCATACTTGCGTGTTTCCATGGGCAACAAGCAGTATCTTGAGACTCTTCATATGAACGCTTCGATCAAGAAGCTCTACAGCTTTGTCCAAGTCATCCTGGGTAGTTAATGGGATCACCAACTACACAAGGAAAAGGCAGATCAAGATCAAGGTCAGAATGCAATTCATGCCTAAATGGTGTGAACACTCAAAGCAGAAGAGCTTCATCAGTCCAAAGAACTAAGCTGGCTAGGACAAGGGTGCTTTAGTTACTATTGCCTGGAAGAACTTGGATGGCTGCACAGGACAAAGACGGGAGAAAGAGAATAGGTAAATGATATCAGCATGACAGTATAGTGGCCAAGGAAGAGCGGCAGCTCATGTAGCAATTTGCAAGAATTCCCCTGGGCATAACACATTCCACCCTGTTCCTCCTTCAAACATCAAGTGATCAGCCAGTTATTTCAACCAATGTCTTCATACATATCCAAATGAAGTGGCCATATTAGACTGTCTTAGCATGTTACCAAAATTTGAAAGAAACCCATAGACTGTATCTGCACAACACAGTTTTAGCAATTTCAAGTGTCATTATTCCATCCTACAAAATCCTGAGATTTGCTATTTGCTGAGGTAATTAGAATTCTCTGCTAATGAACTCTAATACATTCCTCTGAACTACAGTACAGTAGGACCGTGTTATCTGTGGGGATCCAAGCCCCCTCCTACAGATGCTGGGAAGCACAGATAGAGAAGACCTGTATACAGCATAGTATCTGGTTCCCTCTAGTGGTCAATTTTGGGGAGTTACTGTATTTAATATTTTCAGGCAGCAGATCAGTGAAACTGTTAGAGCTGTATAATTTACATATTAGCCATCTTGAGTCCCCTTACCAGGAGAAAGGTGGCATACAAATAAATATTAGACCTTATGTATCCAATCAGATTCTCTGGTGTTAGCCAATGGATTTTAAGAGGGCTAACTGCCAGATAGACAGCCAAAAAAAAGGCAACAGTTTTTATTCAGTTAGTTGTCTGTTGGAGATGTTTGTTAGAAGTAGGTGTAATCTGTTAGGTGTCTGCTTGTTTGTTACTATGTCTGTTTAAGAAACATATAATATGAAACGATAATGAATCTGTCAAGTACAAGTCTGCAACCTAATGTTTAAAGAATTGTTAGTTTATTCTACATATGTGTTTTACAGTAAGCATTCTTAAAGTGTTTACTATGACAAACTGAATATTATTTCAAATGCTGGCACACACAAAGAATATCATTAAAGATCAGTGTGTTTTTTTTACACTATGCTTGAACTGTTGTGTCCAGATTATCATATATTTTAATAAAAGCTTCGGCATATTCCAAAAGAGTCCTTGCTCAGGTGCAGAGGAACTCCATATGTGTGAATCACAGAGACAACAAACAAGAACTGCAATTAGTACAGAATGCAATAGACAGACTGCTCACTGGGACTGAACAGTCTAATCATGTAATCATGTAATTCTTGCTCTGGCCAGCTGTACTGGCTGCACTAACTTTCCAGGCCCAATTCCAGCAACTGCCTTCCATTTATGAAGCCTTATATGGTTCTGGAGACTAATATGTGATGGAACACCTTTTATGCCACGGACTTGCCCATATCATGACATTCTCATTTAAGGCCTTCCTCAGAGACAGGCTTGGAGGGTGGTGACAAGGGAGACGACATTTTCAGCTACAGTTCCCTGCCAATAAAATGGTCCTCCCAGGTAGACCAGGCTGGCTCCAACATCACCACACTATCTGTGCAAGGTTACAACATTTATCTGTAAGACACACCTGACCTTTTTTTGAAAAGATGGCAAAAAAACCCACAAAAAACTTAATAATAACAAGAATAATACACACCCACAGTATGGCAAACATGTCTATCCCAAAGTTCAGATCTGTTCCCCAGCATGCTCAGGACCTACAGTCTAACCAAATGTCAAAACCAGGAATTGACCCATGGGGAGAAATGTTTACTTGACATGAATTCCTCACACGTGAATAGATCATTCAACTCCACTCTTGCCATATAATTTTCTTTGGCAAGGAGTTCAGACATTCCAGGTAAGCAGCAGAGTACCAAAAGTTAAATATTTTTTAACATTCCACCTCACATATTAATACACTTTTAAAATTCTTTTCTGGCTTCACGTGATACTGGCCTAGAAATGGGAAAGATCAAGAACTTTCAACATGATACACATCTGTTAATCATCTAGGTTAAAAATAGTTTAGTATTTGTCCTGTTTTCCACAAGCTGAACACCAGACTTCAAATCTGTGAACTGCAGTTAGAAGAGGCTCTCAGACATCTGAACTGAAACTGCTATTATCTCCCATGAAGGAGGTGTTCAGACATTCTAGGTAAGTAGCACAGTATCAAATGTTAATATGGGGAGACAAATGGTCATTAGGAAGCCTAGGTAGGCAAATATTAATAAGAAAAGACAATCACTTATCAGGAATATATAGGATTAACCTGTTCAGAATTGTTAAAAGATAGACAACATGTCTTGAGGTCTGGTCTGTCTAACATGGGAAGAAATTACAAGTGGGGGCTTATAATATTTTTAAAAACCTCTGCAGCAATGATCTACTGCATCACCATAAACTTTATCGATCAGAAACAGAGTGTTTAATTAAATAACAATCTGCTTAATTACCATGAAGTATGAATGAATGAATGAATGAATACATACATACATACATACATCCATACATACATACATACATACATCCATACATACATACATACATACATCCATACATACATACATACATACATCCATACATACATACATACATACATCCATACATACATACATACATACATACATAACCGCTGAGGTTATTTTTCAAAACCTTGTTATAAAGGTTCTCTCTCCCAAAGTCAGTTGTGTGCCCTCAAAGGACTTCTGAGTATCACAGTAGCAAAATTCAATGACAAATTCTCATGCCAAATTTCAGGAGCAAGCAAGAAAAGATTACTTGAAACAAGCAAAATGCTTGCTTTAAACAGAGTTTTCTGTTCATCCACTAATATTTGGCAGCATAAAATGCTCCCAAATTGTACTGTGTTTCCCCAAAAATAAGACAGGGTCTTGTATTAATTTCTGCTCCAAAAATGCATTCGGGCTTATTTTCAGGGGATGTTTTATTTTTTTCATATACAACCATCTACATGTATTCAAATACAGTTGTGTCATCTTCTTCTGGTTACTGCACAATGGTGGACAGCAGGGTTTCACTGAACGAGGACTTATTTTGGGGGTAGGGTTTATATTACGAGTATCCTGAAAAATCATACAGGGCTTATTTTCAGGTTAGGTCTTATTTTCGGGGAAACGGTAATACAGGGAGCCATGCAAGAAGGAAGTAGCACCTTTGCCCCTTGAAAGTGCTAACATAACCAGATAGAGAAAGTGTCCTGTGACATGCAAAAATTAGGATGTCTGTGCCCTTTTGGAACAAGAACTATAAAGAGGCCTTGTTCTAGACCTACAAATACTGGCTCTCTTTAGAGAAACAAGCCACAGTTTGGGGCCTAGATGTCATGGGAAACAATCAATTTCTAGTTAGCTTAGCAACAGTAGTAGCTTGCAGGAGGAGACAAGCGGGAATGCTGTTTGCCATTTTGAATGTAAAGAGCCACAGTGAATGTAGCACAAGGTAGACTGCAGCTTGTTAGAATTATAAAAAGTATATCCAAAAGTATTGGTTCGTTTCAGATTTATAAGCCGCCTTTTATAACAAACCTCCAAGTTTTGTTATAGCTCTTATATTACCTCATTATTGCTATAATGCAAATTCATAGGCTGTCCAAAGGCAACTTTAGCTTTTGATGCAAGATCTTCTAGCTTGACGGGTCTAGGGAACTGTAGAATCCTGTAACAGATAGTGTGAGTGTGAAGAGGGAAATTCTCTGACATGAAAACAAGTAGCTATCTACTATAGTAGTGACAATTAAACCTCTGGCTGGTTAATCTAAAAAAATACACCTAGAAAAAAAGACAAACTGTCATAAAATTTTGTACTTTCTTTCAACAACTAACCTATATGGATTTTATCCAATGGCTATATGAACAGAAGTTAATTTACACAGTATTTCATACGAAATGGATTAATGGATGAATCTGCTATAGATATAAGATTCTGTCAGGCTTATAAAGGTTTTCAGAGTTAGAAAACCATGTTCTGAAGGATCTATTTAAGATTTTTAGTAGTCTTCAGCTATGCAATTTAATGTCTCAAAAATATCTCCTAATTTATGCTTTAAGATCAACTCAACCAAGTTTTTAATAGCAAATTTAACTTTTATACCAAGGCCATTATACTGTACCTTGGTATTCTATGTTAAAATACTCAGATATGCTATTGAAATCATTTGAGATGAAGAACAAAATACTGGCTTTTGCAAATTTGTTCACCAGAAAAATAAAATAAATCCTTTGCACAAGAAGAACAGAAGAAGGAATTAATTTGATACCTGCCATCTCTGAATACTAGCTGATTACCACAAACAGGTTTATGAAGGCTAAAACACCACCTGTCCCGCAATCTTCTTTGAGATTATTTGTGGAGTGGTTAGATGACATGGTATCACTTACTTGAATTTACATTCATAGTTAGAGATGAGGAAATTTTAAATTTAAAAAGTTATTAAGGTATATTCTCATTTTGTTGCAGAAACACAAAGCAGAATAGAAACACTGAGTTCTGCTTCCACACATTTTCATCCATTTCACCGTATTTCTTCTGTTTCTGCTTTCTAAACATCAGTATTACTTTGGCATTTCTACTTCTCCCTTTCAAGCTAAATCAATACAGTGGTACCTTGACTTGCTATCGCCCCCACTTGTGAACGATTTGAGTTACGAATGGCTCTGTTCACAAAAAGTTGCTTCAACCTGCGAACGGAGCATCGATTCACGAACCAAAAAAAAAAGAAAAAACTTTCCTGCCCTTTTTTTGACCTAAGTTCACCTTAGGTCAAAAGAAGAAAAACTAAAAAAATTCACCCCCTAGTGGTAGAGTATGGATTAACCAGCTTTGCATTCGTTCCTATGGGAACGAATGCCTCTACCTACGAACAGTGCCTCAACATATGAACAGAAAACAGCAGATACGGATTAAATGGTTTTCAATACATTCCAATTGGAAAGTTTGACTCAACTTGTGAACTTTTCAACCTGTGAACTAATTCCAATATGGATTAAGTTTGCAAGTCAAGGTACCCTGTACTTTAGAAAGCCATGACACTACCTACGAACAGTGCCTCAACATATGAACAGAAAACAGCAGATACGGATTAAATGGTTTTCAATACATTCCAATTGGAAAGTTTGACTCGACTTGTGAACTTTTCGACCTGTGAACTAATTCCAATACGGATTAAGTTCGCAAGTCAAGGTACCACTGTACTTTAGAAAGCCATGAAATAAAGTACAGTGGTGCCTCGCTTAACGATTACCTCGTTAAATGATGAAACCGCTTTATGATGAAGTTTTTGCGATCGCTATTGCGATCGCAAAACAATGTTCCTATGGGGAAAAACAGCTTAACGATGATCGGTTCCGTGCTTCGGGAACCGATTTTTCGCTAGACGATGATTTTAAAACAGCTGATTGGCGGCTCTAAAATGGCCGCCCACTGTGCAGAATGGCTCCCTGCTGTGCTTTAGGACAGATTCCTCGCTTTACAGGCACCGGAAAATAGCTGCCCTATGGAGTATCTCACAAAATGAGCAGGTATTTCAATTCAGCGGAACGAATTATCCTCGTCAAGCGAGGCACCGCTGTAGATAGATTCTAGAGACTGCAATTTAAAAAAACTAGTTTTAGCTGAAGTCATAACTGAGCAAAAATGATATGTTAAAATCGTTTTTTAGTTTCGCTTGACGAGGATTTTGCTTAACAGCAATTTCAGCGGAACGAATTATCCTCATCAAGCGAGGCACCACTGTAGAAAGATTCTAGAGACTTCAATTTAAAAAAACTAGTTTTAACTGAAGTCATGACTGAGCAAAAATGATATGTTAAAATCATTTATTGCTTTTTACCTTTTTTCTCCTCGATGTTCAAATTTCACTCGTATGTCATTCTGTAAGAGAAGTTTAAGATTATTATGCTCTCATCAAAAACACAAAACTGAGAACAAAGATGGGTGCAGTGGAGTTTCCAAGTATTTGTGACTATAGCCAAAATTCTCCTGGATAGTATCCACGTGGCATGTAGACAATATGAATAACATCATCATATAAGTACCGACCGCTGCTGATTAAAGGCTTTTTTGTGATTTGGGGGCACATGAGACTGTATTGCATTGTGAGAGATCCATGCACACCCAAAGGCAGGAAAGGAAGCCTTTAATCAGTGGCAATCTGCTGATGATTCTATCATTCCCATTGCACAGGTGGAACTGTACAAGACAATTTCAGCCAGTATCACAGAATTTTAACCAATGTTTCCACATGTTTGAAAGAAAATTCAGTTTCAACGGAAAATACTCCAAGTAGGAAATGGAAATTTTAAAAATGCCTTACTCCAATACACAGCAAACATCTGTTTACAATCTCCTCTGCAACACTATAACCCTTTCACTTCCCTCCTAATTTCAAAAGAACATACTCTACAGAGTGGAACATTCCTCTCTCTCATGTGCGTACAGATTCTTCTTTGTTTTAGACAAGTACACTACAAGATTACCTGTTTTTTTGGAGAAGATGACTTTGCTTTTCCTGTTTCTTGTAGAGGCAACGAAGGACGACTTGCTTTATGAAGAACTGCCAAATCTTGCATGATTGAATTCAAAGCCTGCTGCTCATCTGTTTTGAAGGAAAGAAAGCTATAACCATTAGCTGTAAGAAATCCTTTGAAAACAAGTGATTCAATCACTTGATTATCAGAAGTATCAAGTAATCATATTAAAGAATAGTCTCATCAAAATGGTAAGAATCAAAAGATCATTCATTTGTTACTTTTTAATAACACGTGCAATATGGATCTAAAGATAATCTAATTATCATTAACAACTTGGGATTCTGGCACTTCTATGGTAGCAAGTTTCAAAACTTCATAAATGTTTGCTAAAGACAAGCTATGTTTCACATAAAGTATTGCATTCTACAGTATAGCTATCCAGCAAGAAGCTGCTGGACAACTTTGATGATTCTGGAAATAAAACATGGTGACTTACAGATATTCAGATGTTCTTAATATTATAGGCTAAATGCAATATTATACCTATCTAAAGCAGGCTCACTAAGTTATTGGTAATTAAGTCCCACTAATCTCAATAGGTTGATGATAAGCAGGTTCAATGTGGAAGTTGATGTACAACTCTCATTTACACCACCTACTATGGTTAAAGATCTTAGTGTAAAATTGTAGTTAACATTCTTCTTTGTTTAGAAAAACATGTTCAGGATTACCTGCTGGAGTTTAATTCTATCTGGAGGGCCAAAGAGTCTTACCTCCAATGTAAAACATAAATTCAAAGATATTGAATTGCAGTGAAGTGTAAGTTTGGGAAACAAACAATACGATCAGCAAATAAAGTTACACAACATTATATAAATAGACACTCCCATCCACAAAATATAAGATCGCTAGCTCATATTGTACAGCTTAATTTATATATCAATTACTATAACAACAGTAATAATTGTGAAAGTGCTGTTTCATTCTGTTTAACTCTATTCAAATAAAAAATGATTGGCTGAACAATCTCTTTTTAATAATTATCACAGAAATTACTGTGCTAGTGTGAGGTATTAATAATAACAAAGAATCCAATGAAACCTTTAAAAATAACAAATAAATTATGGTGCAAGTTTTCATGGATTCCATGAAAATATTCCCCATCTGTATATGTTCACTTCTGCCATTTATAACCACTATGTGCCAAGCTTTGTCTTACCTCTGCTACTCAAGAACATTTTCCTATATTTTTCCATTTTTAATCAGCCTAAATATTACCCACTGCATTTCTACATTTCTTTCTAACATGGCTTCTAGTATTACTGAAATAAGTAAGCTGACAGGAAAAAATGTAGAGTTTCTTTCCTATTACAGTAGTAGACAACGTTGTACGTTTAACAAGCTTTGGAAGAAGCCAAGATAGCTATTAAATATGCTAAATACAATACATATAGGCTTAAATCCAGTTGCTTAGCATAGTAAATTGTATTAGATTAGGTCTACTGTATCAGTGGGGATTTGATGTATCAACCCATCAACAGGTTGCTTTGATTCAAATGGGCCCACGCTAGCAGCTGCAACATACTATGCTAAAGGAAGTCATTTCAAGCACGGTAGTAAGGGAGGAGGGATCAAAGTGCACCCTCTCTACTGTACTTTCTTTGCAAAAAGGGGAGAGGGAAAGCCGTTTTTTGCAAAGAAAGTGGAGGGGGGAAAGAACGTTCCTTGCAATAAAGTGGAGGAGGAAAACAGGAATTGATTTTCCCCCTCCACTTTCTTGCAAGGAAAGTGCTTTCCCCCTCTACTTTCTTTGAAAAACGGTGCTTTCCCCCTTGCAAAAAAATGGAGAGGGAAAGCAGCTTTTTGCAAAGGAAGTGGAGGGGGAAAGCACTTTCTTCACAGGAAAGAGATTCCTGCTTTTCCCCTCCACTTTCCTCACATGAAACCTTTTCCCCTCCACTTTCTTTGCAAAAACTCGAGGGGAAAAGCAGGAATCAGTCCCATGCTGGAGAATATGGCATTTGCCTGATACAATTAGCCAAATGACAAAGCAGGAAAAAAAACCCATAAAAATATCTTCAAGCAATTGTAACTCAACTCTGTCTGAACTTTTTATATTACTTCTTTAACTGTCAAACTTTAATTATCTGAATTATTATTCAGGCTTACTTAGGTTCAGTCATTTCTGGCAGTTTTCTGTCTTTATATCAGTGTTTTCTCTTCTCCCTAGTCTGCATCAGATACAGTCATTTTTAAAATGCATCTTTTCATTCTAGCTTTTCAGTGCCTCTTACTCTCTCAACCCTGATCTGATTGATAGTCGAAACTGCTTTCCAGCTGCATAACATGGCCACCTGATCAGGTTTTTAACTTTCAAGAGGCTATCAACCATACACAATTTGACCATTCCTGAACTTATTTTACCCATGCAACTTACCTTGATCAAACTGTGCTTTTTCTTAACTATCTTTAAGCACTGCAATCTGTTTACTCGTATCACACACTAACCCCCACCCCCTACTTGATGACAAGGCCTATCAGCCTTTACTCCAATCAAGCACTGAAACTGTCCTAGCAATATTACATTCAGAATGAAAAGGCAAGCATCCTTAACTTCACCATGACCTACATGGGACAGTTTGAATCTGGGAGCTCCACCATCAAATCTCCTTCCAACACATACCTCACTTGGCTACTTTCAGCCACCTCCTTCTAACTGCTGGCTGCAAAGGAGATACACACAGCGGGTCTATAGGACAGTATACAATAAGTATCAAAGCAAATGAGACTGCTTTGACAAGTACATGTAAGTTTTTTGAAGTTCCATATTCAATTTCAGGAACAAAGCCATGGAGAAATGGACATTTGTTCAACAGAAGACTGTTTCATTGCTTGTACTTTACTCATATTACTCAAGCTCTAATACAGTGGTGCCTCGCTTAACGGGCGCTCCGTTTAGCGACGAAACCGCATAGCGATTAAGTTTTTGCGATTGCAAAAGCGATCACATTGTGATGTTTTAAATGTTTTTTTTTTCACTTTGCAATGATCGGTTCCATTTCGCTTACCGATCATTGCAAAATAATGATTTTTTAACAGCTGATCGGTGGTTCCAAAATGGGTAAAAAAAATATGGCTGCCCGCTGTGTGTAGGGACAGATTCCTCGCTTAAGAGGGAGCGAAAATGGCCGCCGTATGGAGGATCTTTGCTATAAGGTGAGTTTTAAGCCCATAGGAACGTATTAAACAGGTTTTAATGCGTTTCTATGAGCTTTTAAAAATCGCATAGTGCTGCATGGATTAACGTCGCTAATCGAGGCACCACTGTACAAATTGTAACTGTTGGTTAGCAGACATAAAGTTTAACACAACATGAGACTGGTAAGGCAAGCTTCTTCATTCACCACCGAAAAAGAGAGCATGACTGTACCTACGCATCACGCTACTGCATGTTTTGGCAATACAAATGAATTTCACCTATTCAATCAAATTTATAAATGTCACTGATGTGGCAAGTGGCTATGGACAACATATACAGACATTATAGTGCAGTTTATGAAATTGCAAATGATCTTTAGTTTACTGTCACTTACACCTGTCTGATTACCTAGTATTTTATGGAGATTAACTGGAAGATTCAGAACAACCACTGCATCAGAAAAATAGCCTAGTCTGCTATAATGCCTTTATGCAGCACCTTGATCTCCAGGAACCAACAAGTGATGCTTTTTCACAGATTACCAAACATCAGAACAAAGTTAAAACTGTATCTACAGAGGTTGGTAGAAACATTAAGAGAGAGTGCCCTACATAGCCCATTCCTCTTTGGCTATTTGAACCAAAAAGATTTTGGTGACAAGAGGGCTTTGCCAGCACAGTGCTTTATGTATTGGAGTAGCAGAGTTGTTGTGACTGTAATGAGTCAATCTTTAACTGAAATTATACAGTTCTTTATTTCTAGCACATATTTACAACTTCCCTCATAACTAACCATTTCAGAATAAACACATGTTGAATTAAATTTCAAATTCTATTGCATAAAACTTCAGAAATTTCAGCTTTTTCTCTATTCATTAACTTCCACACTGTGAACACAGACATACGTTTAGGAAGTTCAAGAACTCACCCATAATGGCAGCCAGCAAACCTGAATTTCAGAAGAATGGCTCTCCCATTAGAATGTCTTCACTGCCTGTATAGGAAAAAAGAGGATTTTTAAAAAAATTGATACATAAAAAAAGCAATTAACTACAATGAGATTTTAAATATATCAAGCCACTGTTAGGCAGGGGATGCCTGAAAGTTTCAGAGATACTGAAGAGCAGCTACTCCCTCGCCTCTTCATCATAAGAATAAGACAGTATTGGTAAAGACTACTGTAGGAATATCTTAAACCATATAAAGTTGCTAGTCCCAACTAGTGTAGATTAGAGATGGCCATGAACTTTGGTGTGGAGGTTCGTGCCACCTTGTATGCATAGCTCCATAAGTGCTGCACGGACCTATCCCCCACCTCCCGGGCTGGATCTCTCACTCGCCAGCCGGTGCATACTCTTTGCCGCCTCCTCTTTTGCTGTTCAACCAGTCTCCGGCAGAGCACAGGGTTCCTTTCACCATCTCTTTGGCCTAATTGCCTCAGACAAGGAAGCAGGACAGGGAAACTGATGCTCCTGTCAGGGACTGGTCAAACAGCCAAAGAGAAGGAAAGGAGCATGTGCTGGCTGGTGAGCCGGTCATGGGCTGGGAAAGCGAAGGAAAGGAACGCACGACACCTGTGGTGCCATGCATACAAACCAGCATGAACCTCCAATGTTTATTGGTAACAACACAGAATGTCATTGTAAGGATTTCTTTCAGTATTGTTCATCATAAAGCATATACAGAAAGTGCTTTTTTAAAAGTTTGGTAGTTAGGATTGTTAACACTAGAGACCAGCCCCACAATACGTAAATTCATAAATGCTTCCTAATGGGTTGTATTATTTCTTCTGCATATGGTCCTTTACTGAAATGCTGACTTTGGTAGTACAGTAATAATTACAAATCAGGCAAGAGGAGTATTATAAATTTAATAAAATGTAATTCAGCCATTTAATCATAAACCATGGTGCTTAGATGATTACCTCCAATCTTTCTAGATCCTGGGATGACAAGAAATCTTTTTTCTCAGTGTGATTTGAACAGATACATGTGAACAAATAAAATGAAGGGCAGGCATAGGTTAAAGGTATGTGTGTCTTTCCCATGACTTCATCTCCATTTTGCAATACCCAATCACGGATAATAGTGGGAAATATTTCAACTGGTGAAAAGAGCTTTGATGAGCCACAGCATGACAATTAAAGAATCAAAGGAATTTCACCTTTCCTTGAACAAAGATCATACAGTATACCACTTTCCACCAATCCAAAATCAATGAGGGGGAAAAAAAGAGAGCGATAACCTTCTTTGTGAGCCAATTAATGGTCTTTCTCCCCAACAGCAGCTGCAACAATTTTAACAAACATTTCAGAAAATATGAACAGATACAGTAAATTTAACAATGAATTTGTATTTATTGCTATTTAAAATTGTAACACTTCTGGTTCTCACATCTCAGCCAGCAAGCCCAATCTACTGACCATGTGACACGATTTTTGTACCTAATGATCAGCAGTCTAAGCCATTCCTCTAAGAATGTCCAGTTTTTAAAGAATGTGTTGTCATTGTGTGTCATCCTGATGCTTCTGATTTATAACCCATGAATTAATAGACCTATGCAAGTCTTGCAATCTAAAAAACATGTGTTTCTTCACTGAGTCTATCCATCTCGTGTCAGGTCTTCCTCTTTTCTTGCCAATTTCCACTTTTAGCCTTGCTGTCCTTTCCAATGAGTCTTTCTAAAGCATTTGTTTTGTTAGCTAGCTATCTGAGAAGACTTCGTTGAATATGAAAATACATAGCAAGGAGTATTTCTTAATTTCATCACACAGCACTGCTTATTTCTCAGCTATAATTCATAATTCTAGGGACAGAAAGTGATCTTCTAGCGTTCTATGAATTGAAAGATCAAAGCAACCAGAACTGCACAGTAAGTAGGTCAACAGGGTCTGGACAAATATCTTGGAATATCAGATGCACCCCATGAATTAGCCACCAAGCGCACACCCCTTACGCTTTGCTTTGTAAAAGTATTTTCATTAACCTTTTTACTACCATTTAAATAATTTAGTTACATGCCTTTATGTCCATCAAAGATGCTGTATCCATGGAAGAAAAACAGGAGCTGCAGTTTTGCCACATGTCATGTGTGGCCTTTCTATTTACACATGTGTCATACATGTTCTAATACAGAAAGTGCAGATATCTTTGCTAGTGTCATGACACCCAGAGGCTTCATCTTTGTCATTTGAATATTTGATGGAAAACAAATATTCTCCAACTGAAATCAAGGACAACAATATGCAACCAAGCCAATGAACCTACATATCAATAATAATCCAAAGAAGCCATTTAATCAAGACAGACAGCATGGAAGATACCTTGACAGATATGCAATGAAGAAAAAATTAATCACATCAACAAATTAATCAAATCACCTGTGCCAATGCTGGAGTGGCAGACGGTGCTGAAGGAAAGCCACGCGGCCGGGCGAGTGCCACTGCCACCTGACGGGCTTCTACGGAACACCTGCAGCCGCTCTCTTCCACCCCCCTCAGCCCCATAGAGGTCATTATGATGAGCCCTCGGAAGCCCTCGCTGCCAGCACCCCAGGGAGCACTTAGTTTAATGCGTTCCTACGGGGCCCAAACTCACCATTCAGCAAAGTTCCTCCATAGCGCCGCCATTTTCGCACCCTCGGTAAGCGAGGGCAGGGCGCGAAAACACTTGCGGCGGCCATTTTGGGCACTCGGCGGCCATTTTGGAACTGCCGATCAGCTGTTGTAAAAACATTGCAATGTGAAGATCAGTATTACCGATCATCGCAATGCCAGTTTTTGCCTATCTAAACGTCGCAATGCAATTGCTTTTGTGATCGCAAAAGCGACATCGCTATGTGGATTCGTTGTTAAACGGTGCGCTCGTTAAGCAAGGCACCACTGTATATTGTCAAATTGTCCCTGACCTGGGGACCTGGCAGTTCTATGACTGAGCCGTTAAGCAAGGCACCACTGTACATTGTCAAATTGTCCCTGACCTATGGCAGTTCTATGACTGAGTAATTTCCAGAATGTTCTGTCCTCAACAATCCTGCTCAGGTCTTAGCATGGGACTTCCTTCATGGAGTATATCCATCTCATATTTGGTCTTCCTCATTTCTTGCTGCCTTCCATTTTTAACAGCATTATTGCCTTTTCCAGTGAGTCTTGCCTTCTCTTGATGAGCCCAAAGTTGGAGAGCTGACCCACTATGATGAGACAGTCCAAAATCACCAAACAGGTTGGGACAAAACAAAAACAAAACAAACAAAAAACTTCAAACAAACTGACTGATGTATTAATTTTGCCCCTCTTCTCTCTGTTCCATTTATACATGATATCAGAACCAAGCCTGCAACAAATAGGAAACCCTCTTTTCACACTTTTTCCTACTTTCATTTTTTCCTATCAATTAGGAATGTTCATTTTGAATCTGGCTATTCAGAAGCAACCTTTAGTTTCACTAAGATTTTTGTTATGCCAGCTTTGCTGTGTTTATGCACTCTGAGCACTGATATTTTAACTGTCTGCTTTTAACTTATATTGTTTTTGTATGATTTATTTTCCATTTATTTATTATGTAATATTCCTGGAGCAACTAACAACTGAAAATATTGCACATATGTGCATTAAAAGCCACATGTACGATAACAAAACAACAGCTACAATCCTCTTGTGTAAATTACAGTAGCATAAGAATGATACAATCTGCAACAGCTGATTGCTACTAATTTTAAAAATCCCTGCTCTGATTTCTCATTGCATGTAAGTTGAGTAGCTTCATGTGTAACCCACAATGGGAGAGGAGACTCTAATTTAAAAAAAAGAACAAGGATGAAAAGCTTCACCTGGTACCAAAAATATACAGTACAGTCACCAGGAAAGCCAGGGAGAACATTTCACAGATGGATGGGCAACTACTGAAAAAGGTCATCTCTCTTGTAACCACCCAGCTCCACTCATTTTTTCTTCATAGCAAAAAACACTACAAAATTTAAGTACATAGATTAAACGTAGTAAGCAGTATACTTTAAAAACTTAACTGAATTAACATTTATTTATGCAGCACACCCAATGTGCTCAAAGACCATATGTTATCTCGATGATCTTTGAAATAGCTTTATAATAACTGCCAGTACAACCCTACCCATCCTACACATGCACGGCTGCTTTGAGAATGGTGGCTTGCCTAAGGCTACCTAGCAAGCTCCCAGCTGTTGTAATATTTGAACTGACTTGCAGCTAATCATGATGCTACACCGGTGTCCATTTATCACTGACTCACTGCATTTTCCCACACTACAAATCAGGAAAGGGTCCAAGAATGGTTTCTAAATATATTTTTCTTCCAATGGTGAAAAGCCCCAAAAAGAATCAGAGGAAAGTGTTTGGCACTGTATTAATCTTTATTTATACATACAGTGGGGTCTCTACTTAAGAACTTAATCCGTATTGTTTAATGGTTCTCAACTAGCAAGCTCCCAGCTGTTGTAATATTTGAACTGACTTGCAGCTAATCATGATGCTACACCGGTGTCCATTTATCACTGACTCACTGCATTTTCCCACACTACAAATCAGGAAAGGGTCCAAGAATGGTTTCTAAATATATTTTTCTTCCAATGGTGAAAAGCCCCCAAAAGAATCAGAGGAAAGTGTTTGGTACTGTATTAATCTTTATTTATACATATGCTCATCAGTCTGCCTCCATCTCCTTCTACAGAAATTTAATTCTGAAAGTTAAAGATAACTGGGCTAAAACAGTCATCACAATGTATATCAGAACAGAAACATCACAATGTATGACATATGCATTAAATGCAGAATATCATATGATTTAAATCTTATCAGGGGACAGCATACTCAATGCCTTCTTTCTACTGGAGTACTCTGTGCTCTTAAAAATGTTTCAGAACTCTCTCTCCTCCACCAGTATGGACTGAAAACCAATTAATCCGTTCTGGCTGTTTTTTTTTTTGTTATGTAGAGGTGCATTCGTACATTGAAGCATTAGT